GTGGTGGTGGGGAAGCGGGGCAGGCATGAGGGGAGGGCGCAGGAGGGTGCTAGCGGGAAAGGCAGAGGGTGCCTGTGGCAAGAAGAGGGAAAGCAGGAGGTGCTGGCACGGGTGACAGGGGTTAGATGTTTTTACCTTTTAAAAAGTCATTTAACCACAATCGTTTTTTAATCGCAGTGGCTACTGATTTAGGGAGAACAGAAAGAAAAAGGGGGTCTCCCACAGTGCTTTACAAAAATTACCAGTTTGAAGTTGAGACATGTTTGGTCCTCTGAATCTCTTAATTCTGTGCAACAGACCTGCTAGTCTAGAACTTAACTAAATACATTCTCCATTCCTTTTAATGTCAGTTTTTCTAAAGCTGGATGGGAGTACCAGTGAAGATCCTGGATGGCTCCCGGGTGGGCTGTTGTCTACGTCTGCTCTGAAGGCAAAGGGGTAATCACAGCAGCAGGTTGTTACAAAGCTGACGTGTCTTTGCTATAACCGGTTATTGTGAGCAGTCAGGGCTTCAGTTGTTCTGCATATTTGAGCTGGCCAACACAGTATCCCACTTGGGACAGTAACAAAAGTTTATCTTGACAGCTGGCACAAGTTTCATTTCACATAGCCAGACTTAATTCCATTTTCTACTACTGCATAGATAGAGAAGTGAAATAGAGCTTTGCGTGATACTAGTGAAATAACATAGCCCGAACGTACCATGATAAAAGAAGTATTAGGAAGTCAGTTTCTCACCAGAACTTATAAATTAAAAATACAGATCTCACCATTTTATTAAGACAGTCACTGACAGTTTGTAAAAAAAACATTCTAACATACATAAAAGCTTCAGGCCAGAAATACCAAGAAATGGAAACAGCGTTCCTCCCCACCCCACCCCCTTCCCCGATACTGCACTACAAACTTCAGTTTGTTTGATTTAAATTGGCTTAATCTTGAAGTGTAGTCCAATAAGGCTGAAGACTAGACACTTAAGGTCCTGGACCAGGTAGTAGAACACTCTCAAGCCTTCTGGATCCCTGCAGTGCACAACAGAAGGAAGGGAAAAAAAAAAAGTTAGATTGATGTTCTAAGAGAGCAGTTTATAGAACTGACCGATTAAAAAACCAACAAAGCCTATAGGGACACTTTCTAAGAGGTCATCTTAGACATTAGCAGATTTGTTTCATTCTACATGGATTGATAAAACATTCTGTACACCAAGTTTGCACGTTTTAAGTCTTAACAAAACGTGCATTTTTATCATGAAAGCAAGTAGTAACATCACTTTGGATTTAAAAAACGCGATACCCAGTCTTTTCAGCTTAGCTGAAATACAGAAACCTTGGTTCTCCCAGAGACACTGGTGTGGATGGGCCAATGACAGCTCAGTTCAGACTCTGAATACGCCTAACGGGTTCCTACAGCGAGGTTAGCTGCTCGGTGAGTTTGAAAAGACAGCACGTAATGCCGCAGTCTAAAAGCATTTGGTACATTATGCTGGAACACAGAGCACTCGTGCCTCCAGGAACTGATCTGTACTTTTAAAGAATATAAAATACAAGTACCTAGTAATCAGCAAGCTCTAATATAGATTGTTACATAAAAACAACAGCAACATAAGAAAGCAGAGTACGTACTTGGACTGATTTACGTCAATGAGTGAACCGATTTTGGACGTGGTAAAGGAGATGTGCTCATCACCGATTACTATTTCAAGCTCCTGAAAAATAAAAGATTATAGGAACTCAGAACTACTGCTTTGCGGTATTAGTTACAGAAATGCTGAAGTACTGAGATGATGGCTTTTCCATTTTTATTACAAAGGTATTGAATACTGTGGGTCTGTGAATCATGTTAACTCTCACAACCAAATTGCCATTTAGGCACTGCTCAGGTTTTAAAATGGTATTTGTTTCCCTCTTGGCTAGAAACAACGCTGACTTGAAGAAAAAGTTCAGTTACGTTTCCAATGAGCTAACACATAAAAATTAAAGCAGCAATTAGACAAGACACCGTACACCAACCTGTCGACCGACTCTGTCGGGAGGAGGCCACAGAGCATCATCTTCTTTTGTGATTTCGCTGTCGTCGATGATTCTCTTCAGCTCCTCCATCACGCTCTTATGCACGTAAGCCTACAAGCAAGACTCCAACATGAAAAAACAACCCCAGGCGCTACCCCGCACGCTGCGGCGGGGACTCCGCCTGCGCACACCGCCGCCCGAGCGCCC